AATGAACTAATCAAATCAACCAGACTTTCATGAAGCTGAAAATCAAGCGCGATCATTTTTAAGCAACAATTAACAAGTATTTGCTAGAGCACTCGAAAAACCACTTGGGGGCATCGCCATAAATGTAAGGGTGGTAGGGTGGAAACAGAAGAATGGAGAATTTGCCAGCTACTGACTGCATCGAATGTAAGAAATATGACAATGAGAGAGCAACCGAAAGCAAGACAATCGGTATAAAAATACCAGACATTCTTTGTTTCTTCCAGTAAGACCTGGTACTGGTAGGTCAGCGGTATGTAATAAAATCCCTTCATAATTCACTTTTTTTGAGAAATAGGGACTCAATAGCAGCCCGAGTGGTAGCACTTGTCAAAATCCGAGTGGTAGCACTTGTCAAAATCCGAGTGGTACACTTATCAAAATTCGAGGGGTAGCACTTGTCAAAGTACGAGTGGTAGCACTTGTCAAAGTACGAGTGATAGCACTTGTCAAAATCCGAGTGGTAGCATTTGTCAAAACCCAGTGGTAGCATTTGTCACAGTCCGAGTGGTAGCACTTGTCAAAATCCGAGTGATAGCACTTGTCAAAGTCTGAGTGGTAGCACTTGTTAAAGTCCGAGTGGTAGCACTTGTTAAAATCCGGGTGGTAGCTTTTGCCAAAATCCGGGTGGCAGCACTTGTCAAAATCCGAGTGGTGGCACTCGTCAAAATCCGAGTGGTAGCACTTTTCAAAATCCGAGTGGTACACTTATCAAAATCCGAGTGGTAGCACTTGTCAAAGTACGAGTGGTAGCACTTGTCAAAATCCGAGTGGTAGCATTTGTCAAAACCCAGTGGTAGCATTTGTCACAGTCCGAGTGGTAGCACTTGTCAAAATCCGAGTGGTGCACTTGTCAAAATCCAAGTGGTAGCACTTGTCAAGGTCCGATTGGTAGCATGTATCGAAATCCGAGTGGTAGCATTTGCCAAAATCCACTGGTAGCAGTTGTCAAAATCCGAGTGGTAATACCCATCAAAATCCGAGTAGTAGCACTTGTCAAAGTCCGAGTGGTAACACTTGTCAAAGTCGGAGTGGTAGCACATATCAAAATCCGAGTGGTAATCAAAAGTAGCCATCTGCTGGCAAGGCTGTCGACGGCTTCCTCTTCCAGAGGTTGTTTAGAAGCGATGTGAGCTCCCTTGGAATACCAGTCGAAAAAATGAATGAATCGCTGAGGAAACGGCTATCTTACTGGCAGGGTTAAACCACCGATTTTTCGCATAAAACTGATACCATTAACACAGCGTCATGCTCACGAGCAAGCAATAAATGGTAAAAAAAATTTACA